GGGGGGGGGGGTTCTGGGCCCTCACCGATGACGACGATGGAGAGGGCGACGAGGAGGCAGATGCGGCGGCGCCTCAGTCCCCTCCGTCGGCGACTCCTTCGGACTTCATCTATGATTTTTTCAGTGTTGGATACAACGAGGACGAGGTGGCTACTACCGTGGATGAGATCCTTCCCGTTGATGATCCGGCGAGAATCGGACTACACGCGGGGGAGACGACCGAGATGGTGCGCCGAGTTGTTCACCGGCGAACGGTGGCGACGGCGGTCCGACCTTGGAAGGGTCCTTTGCCTAAGGTATGTCCTCCGAATTTAACGCTTTTTGATATGATTCGACCGGATTCTTGGACGTTGGTCAAGAGACGTAAGAATGCTCGCCAGAATTGTGCACGATCGGCGCCGGAGGTGGCCGCGGCTTTGTCGCCGGCGGCCACGGCGACCCAGATCCGTGCCGCTCGCCAGGAGCGTTTGAAACGGCTCCTGGGCCGAGCTGAGCCGAGCGCTGTTGCGCCGGCAGGTTCTTTTGGGTCTAAGACTGGTGGGTATGAGGCCCAGCCAGACATGGCTCCAATCAATACCGAGAGTCGAGACGCATGCACGATACGTTCGTCATCGTCTTCTCCACCGCCGCGTCCTAGGGTTGCGCGACATCGTCTGCCGCACCTTCGCTCCGCCGGACCTGGCCGAGCGCGCTGCATCCCTCCCCTTTGCGTGATGGCGGGGTCGGCTGGTGCTCCTGCTCCTGGGAAGAGGCCGCTCCCACCCAGTGGGGCTGGCCGGGCCTCCGGGGCGCCGCAGTCGGGCCAGGGCAATGGCCGGGGCGCGCCGCCGCCGGGCCAGGGCGTTGGTCGGGGCGCGCTGCCGCCGGGCCAAGGGAGTGGCAGGGGCGTGCTGCCGGCGCCGACTTCGGCCGTCGGCCGGGCTGGTGTGCAGCTTCCTAGGGCTGCGGCGGGGCGCGAGTCTGGGGGTCCGGCTGCGGCTACCTTGCCTGCCGGGGCAGCTGTGGGGCGGCCGCCGGCTCCGGCTGTGCGAGGAGGACAGGCCTCCGACCCTCGGCCGGTCGTTTCGGGCAGTACGGTGGTGGCAGCTGCAGGCCGGGGAATTGCACCACCAAGGGCGCCGGCCCCTCCTCCCCACGTCGTTACTCGATCGACCATGCCGTCGCAGACCATCGGTGATGTGACTGCACCCCGAGGTCAATGGGGGGATGACGGTTACGATGCCTATGGGGCTGTCCAACACCATAGCTCTTCGTCCACGGGTGGCGGTCGGGGTTATGCGTGGCAAAGTGATGGTTCGGCCGAGAGGCCATTTTTGGGTCCTTCTGGTGGCTTCGTTGAGGGAGCTTCCGGTCCGGGTAATCGGCAACGGGGAGGTTTCCGTGGCCATTGTGGTGGCCGGGGCGGTCGAGGAGGCCGCTACCGTCCACGTCAACCGCCACCACCTGTTGTTGTCGAGCAGACGACAGATAGCAGGGCGGCCGAGGAGCCACTTTTGTCCGGTCACGCTATGGAGGTGGTGACGGCTCTTGCTGCTGCTCAGGTTCCTGAGAACGAGGTTATGACAGATGTGTCTGTGGAGTTGTCGGACAGGGCTGAGTCTGATAAGGCGTCCAAGTGGGCGCGCAAGAATGGAAAAGATGCTTTGTTATAGATGTGGAGACAAGGGTCACTTCATTGCGGAGTGTGTGGCTCCTTTATGTGATACCTGCGGTAAGCCGGCACACAACTCTGGGGACTGCCCGATTCTGTGAGATCATGCACCGTCACTTATGATGTACGTAGTTTACTGTGCTGAGCTTACGTTTTTTGAGTCTCAATGAGAGAGAGGTTGCTGATGAAGCCCCGAGCATGACTTCGGGGATTGTCAAGGTCTCTAAAGGGGAGGTTTCTGAGGCACAGATTGTGCAGAGGCTTCAGGAGTTGGCTCCCGGGGACTTCCACTGGGACCTCGTCAGCCTCGCTGACAAGATTCCAGAGTTGAGTTTCCTTCGATGGAGGATCTGCTGAGGTTGCTTAGTTTTGGGATGTGTAAGGTGCCTGGAACTAATTGCGTCCTTGAGTTTCATGAGTGGAAGCAGGTTGAGCCTCAGGGCAAGCCGCTTACTCAGGCGTGGTTGCGTTTCTCCGGGGCTCCCTCCAGGGCATTACAGGATGCTCGGGTTGTGGCCAGTTTGGGTATTTTGTTGGGGA